CTTGCAGCAAAGATTAGAGAGAGGGGACGAAGGAATTAATGCATTAGACGCTGCATGTAAAACACACGACATTGCGTATTCACAACATAAAAATTTAAGTGAAAGACACGAAGCAGATAAAATCTTGGAAAATAAAGCGTGGGAACGGGTAAAATCAAAAGACGCTAAGCTAGGTGAAAAGATTGCAGCTTGGTTTGTAACGACAGCAATGAAAGGTAAACGTAAATTGGGTATGGGATTTTCTAAAAAACCAAAAAAAGGAGGTGCCTTGAAAAAAAAAAAGAAACGCATTATTCGAGCTCCCAAGAAAGGTGGTTTTTTACCTTTGTTGTTACCATTGCTCGGAGCGTTAGGAGCTGTTGGGGGAGGTGCAGCTGGAATTGCCAAGGCGGTTAATGATGCCAAAGCTGACCGCGAAAAACTTGCTGAACAACAAAGGCATAATTTGGTAATGGAACAAACAGCGAAAAAAGGAGCGGGGTTTTATTTAAGACCATACAAAGGTTACGGAATAAAACGTCGCGGCAAAGGTTTCCGTTTAAAACCGTATTCAAGAAACTCCCGGTAAAGCTACCTAAACGAGCAATGACTGATGTAGATCTTGTTAAATATGCTGGTTTGTTACATATTCCTCATTTTCGTGGAGTTTTTATGCGTGATTCTGTACCTCATGTAATACGAAAACATGAATCAGGTATAGTAAACCACGATACTAAAGACGGAAATGGTACACATTGGACTGCATATGCTAAACAAAATACTTTAATTACTTATTTTGATAGTTATGGAAATTTACCTCCTCCTACTGAATTAGTACGATATTTTAAAAGTAATGGAAACGTTACTATAGCATATAACTATGATGTCATTCAAAATTTTAATTCTTTTAATTGTGGTCAAAACTGTTTAAGATTTTTATTTAATTACTATAATTAATTAGCGAGTATCATTTATACTTGAACCATCATGTCAGTCACATTCACCCTTACTGGAGAATCATCAATTCTCAGTGATGATTATAATCCTCCCATTTATCTTGATGAGAATTTCAATTATGAAATTGGTGTTGCAAATTTTGACACTTTTAACAGTATTCCAAATGTCGATATTCATAATAATGTTTTCGTGTGGGGCAAAAACAGCGAGTTTACCTTTAAAATTCCTGTAGGTGCCTACGAAGTTGATGATATTATTAAAATTATTAAAAATGAAATGATTCAAACCGCTAGCATAATTAGTATGAAGCCCGATATAAATACAAATAGAATTAGTATTAAAAGTAGTGATTGGATTAATTTTGATGTTGATAATTCTATAGGAAGTTTGCTAGGTTTCGAAAGAGTTAAACTTACACCAAATAAACTTCATCTATCCACGAATGTGGTAAATATTTTAAAAGTTAATACCATCTGTATTGATTGTAATATTGCTGTTGGATCTTTCTTAAATGGAAAGGCTGTGCATATTATTCATCAATTTTTTCCTCAAGTTCCGAATGGGTATAAAATAGTCGAGCAACCGTTAACCATCTTGTATTATCCTGTAAGCAACAAGACGATAAGCAACATAACTGTACGAGTTTTAGATCAACAAGGAAATTTAGTTAATTTTAATAAGGAAACAATTACTATTCGGCTACATCTTAGAAAAATTGAGTAAAATGGTTTTACAGTTTCATCGAAGTAATTATAACAAACATTCCTATAAAAGACGTCATCTCAATAAAACAATTAGTAGAAGGATAACATCTAAGCTGTTAACATCTCAAAATCGTAAATTTTTGAAATCACTTGGTTATCAAGTTTTAATATAATGGAAATGTTACACGTTTTGGGTCAACCTTTCAGCGATACAACCATTGAAGATTATCAGTATCACACTTATCAACCATATACATCAAATTTAAACTATAATGATGAAATTAGAATTCCAATCCAAGATCTAGACGCCTATACTTTACCATGTAACAGTTATATTTACATTGAAGGTCAAATGTTAACCGATAAAAATCAGGTTCCAACAAAATTTCAATTTATTAATAATGGTATTTCATATTTATTTAGAGAATTAAGGTATGAGTTAAACGGTGTTATAATCGATTCTGTACGAAATATTGGTTTAATTTCAACTTTGAAAAATTATTTGTCGCTTAATGAAAATCAGAGTAAACTATTACAAAATGCTGGATGGTTTCCAAAAGGAGATAAACTGGTAATTGATAACCACGGGAATTTTAACGTTTGCATACCGTTAAAAATTTGGTCCGGATTTTTCGAAGATTTTCAAAAAATTATAATAAACATGAGACAAGAATTAGTCTTGATACGAGACAAAGATGATATTGATGCTATTATTGCTACAGATGAAACAGAAAAACCAAAAATTGCAATTAATAAACTATATTGGAATGTACCTCATATTTTACCCAATATTAGCGAACAATTGCGATTAAACAAAATAGTTCGTAGTAACATAGAACTACCTATTAAATTTAGAAGTTGGGAATTGGTCGAGTATCCCACTTTAAATAATTCAACACGTCATACTTGGCCAGTAAAAACAACTACAAAGCTAGAAAGTCCTCGACACATTGTAGTAGCTTTCCATGATGGTCGAAAAGGAAAAATGCTAAAAGATATGAGTAAATTTGATCACTGCAATCTAACAAATATCCGTATGTTTCTTAATTCGGAGCGATATCCTTATCAAGATCTCAACTTAGATTTTGACACTAACCGTTTTGCAACGTTGTATGAAATGTTTGCCAATTTCCAAGAATCTTATTATCATATTCAAACTAATCAACCAATATTCAGTCCAGAAGAATTTAAAAAGAATGCCCCTATAGTACATACTGATTGTTCAAGACAAAAAGAAATAATTCAAAGTGGCTCTGTTGTTTTAAGAATAGAATTTGAAACTAGTAAGTCTGTAGGAAACAATGTTTCCGCTTATTGCTTGATATTGCATGAAAAAGAATTCTCTTATAATCCTTTAACTAAAATTGTGAGACAGCAATAAAAGGTCTGCATCATAGTCTAAATGTTAGTTGTTAAAATGAATTTGGTAATAGACGTTCAAGGGTTTAAAATAGAAAATAATAAATTTGTAGTGAAAGAACTTGCTGCTTTTAATGGAACGCAAATTTGTCATTATGTATTTAAGTCTCCGTTTCCTATTAGAATGTTGTCTTCCGATTTACACAGACAGGCAACTTGGTTAACAAAAAATCATCACTGCATTGATTGGAATTTTGGTTTTACACCTCTTTATCATTTTGCAAATATTTTAAAGGATATTACACAAAACGCTGATGCAGTTTACGTCAAAGGTTTGGAAAAGAAAAATTATTTAAAAAAATACATTGCTGTTCCTTTATACGAATTGGATGAACAACCATCATTAGAAGTTCAGAAACCTGCTTGTTTTTATCATAATAGTGAAAAATGTATTTGTGCTTTATCTAATGTATTTTGGTTGTATAATACTTTTTTAATGCAAAAATAAAAATGTATATTATATTATTTTTGTTTTATTTCTTAGTTATAAATATTGTAAAAGAAACAACTAATTAGTACTAAAATTATTTATTTAAACAAAAATTACATAGTATACGGTTTAATTTTTCTGCGAAATTTACTTAAGTGTAGTTTACTAAATGATTTAAACATTATTTGCTTGTCTTCGACTTGTTTTATTTTTTCCTTTAGTTCTTTAATTTTTTTCATAAATTCCTCCAATTCTTGTTTAAACGATATGTTGTGTAGAAATGAAAACTACAAAATAAAATATATTATTTATTTATTGTATTTACATGTATTTACAGTATCTACCCCCTCATCTTCAAAACAGGGTTTGGGTAGAACATCTTTGATTTGATGTAAGAAATCAATCAGCCCTAGATTTTTTATTTTTTTAAAAAAGCAACACATGCAAATTAAATCAGATAAATAATCTTCGCAGATTCTCGCTCCCGTATGGTATATTGCTGATTTTTCGTTACACTCTTCTACCGTATATCTTCTTGTTCTTATGGTAGCTCGTTCGGCTTCGTATTCAAAATCGTATGCTTTTTCATTAAATACCCATTGCAAATTTCGGACAGCTTCAGCTACGTTGAGAGACTTTGTACCATCTAAACACGGATCCATGACTAAATTCTAAAATTAATAATGTTAGCAACAATATTTATTGAAAAATATTTATTACCTTTCTGATCTCACGACGAACAAAATTTTACTAATCTACTGAAAATTATTTACTGTTTAACTTATATTACGATGAACTAAATGTTACTAAACATCACTTTTACAATCCTCCAATTTATGTAGTTTACATTTTAAACACTGCGCATGCCTTAGTTGCTGCGTAGAGGTGACCTTGATTTACATAAATAAAAAGTAAGTACATTTGATGTTTAAGAATATTAACAGGTTAATAGCCATGGAGTGTTGTCACAAAGCTAAATTAATGGTTCAACATCCGCGAAAACCTTTGTACAAGTTTACTGAAGCAGAATTAGAAAATTTTACCCTACCATACTTTAGAAAATGTGTGGAACCGGTGGAATTACTACGATCTTGGTATAAATTACCCACAAAAGCTGTTCAAGATTTTGAAGTTCAGACTCGTCTGCCATGTTTTGTGCATTTTAATCGTCCTGAGTGGAGAACAGAGCTTGAAGGTTCAGCACCGGCACAATCCAGTTGTCATTTGTGTAAGTCTGCGCTTGAAAATTTAAAAAACATGTATAACAGTGTAATAAATAATTAAGAAGGTATTATTTTTTTATTAAGAGTTTTATTATACTAATAACCTTTCCTAACATTAGCTGTCACCGTGACTTGGAACTAGATCATGACATGACCTTTAATGTCATTCACGTGACCTTGAACTTGATTTTTGCGTTACCTTGCGCTTTACCTTATCTTTACCTTACCTTTTTGCGTTACCTTACACTTTACCTTTGCGTGACCTTTAACTTGACCTTGACCTTGACCTCAAACTTGACCTTGACCTCGACCTTGACCCTGACCTTGACCTTGACATTGACCTTGACGTTGGCCTTGACCTTGACATTGACCTTGACGTTGACCTTGACATCGATCTTGACCTCGACCTTGACCTCGACCTTGACCTCGACCTTGACCTCGACCTTGACCTTGACCTTGACCTCTACCTTGACCTCGACCTTGACCTCGACCTTGACCTCGACCTTGACCTCGACCTTGACCTTGACCTCGACCTCGACCTCGACCTCGGCCTCGACCTTGACCTCGACCTTGACCTCGACCTTGACCTTGACCTCGACCTTGACCTCGACCTCGACCTCGGCCTCGACCTTGATCTCGACCTTGACCTCGACCTTGATTGGAACCGGTTTCTCCCACCACAAAGTGCACCAGGAATGGTATAGAGTATCTACTAACTCATTTATGAAATCTTTATTTTGTACTGAGGTAACTTATGCGGGTTTTTACCGGTTATTACTATAAAAGAAAAACCGGTTACAACTGGGAGATAAAAATACCGAAAAAACCGATTATTGCAGGGTAAAAAAACCGTTTGTATAACCGGTAGGTTTTTTCCACCCTTACTTGAGAGTTAAATGGATCTTGATCAAGTCGTAAGTTAATGGCAGACCTTTAATATCGAAAAGAACAAGCCCGAGCAACATTTGTGCTTTAAGCTAGAATGGCCCATTGTGACATCTTTCTAGTACTTTATTCGGAGTAAAAGCATGCTTAAGCGCTTCTTAACTTTGAGATATAGGACTACTAAAGATAAGTTGGGTCAATAGAGTTAAAAGTTAGGAGGTTCTTAGGTGGCTGAACAAAACTGACCAATATAATAAAAAATTATAAACTGGTATAGTTTGGTCATATTATGAAGCATCGTAAAGATATAAATTTTTATTCTCAACATACATAAAAAGATCCACGATAAACATAGTCCTGTGAGAACACCTACATCATGACATAATAATTGTATGGAAAAGCGCTTACATCATTATTTGGAGCGATTTCCATGATTGGGAATATGATAGGCCAATTTATCCAACGACAGATGGAGGTAGAAGAAGAAAAAGAAGGATTTGCTTTGTCCTTACTTTGTCGAAATACGTATAAATAATATTCACACTTCAATTAAAGTTTTTAGTCAGTTAACTAAATTTTAAGATATACGTATTAAAGTAAATCTATATTATGATAACTACAGCACGAGTAAGCAATAAATTCTTTAGCCTTAGAGATTTCGGTACTATGTATTTATTATTATTTATTATATTTATTATATATATACTATTTTGTTTTATTTTAAACAATAAATTTTATAAGTTAAGAAATTCTCATTGGTTTTGTTCACTTTGGCGACATCGTCCTAAAAAGTTTGGACAATATTTCATTCCATATATTACACAATTTGAGAACCGCTGCTTTAGAACTTAGTTTAAATCCCTCTCAAAAAGAGCGAGCGACAGGGAGCGTTATTCTTTTTGGGTCTTTCGTCCTTTTATTTCGATGTTCTGTTGCCGTGAAATTTTTTGGTTTCACTCGATGTTATTGTTATTTTTTTAATAAGATTTTAGAACTGTTATACTATTCAACATTTTTTAGAATAGAGATTCAAATATAAAAGAATCATTGAAAAAGTTTCTGGTTTTGCCTTTTTGTACATTTTTTGTTTTGTGTGTTCTAAAACAAAAATGTACAAACGAGAGGCTAACTTGTAATAAAAATAAATTTTAACATTGACACTGTATTGTTTAATACAGTGTTGAAACCTCTTTCTTATGAAATTTGACACTGAATTACTTTATATTTTTTAAAATAAACCAAAATAATTGTAATTAGGATTATTCTTGAGGCTTGGACTACCGGCTAATAAAACCGTTTTTATTTTTATTTAAATTAATGTGTCTCGGCTGCAATGACCATTGATACAAAACAATATTGTGTACAATAATTACAATAAGCACATATTACTTGCTACAGTTAATCTATAAGCTTAGAACTAAATAATACAACAGGTTTATCACTAAGCTATAAGTTAACGGTAAAGTACATGGAAAACAAGGGGTCATATTATGTTGAACAACTGAATGTCTTTCAAGAAACCAATTAGGTTAAAGACTTGATTGGGTGAGTTTAAAACGTCTTTGATATTTGACTTAAGTTTATGTTGCACTCTGTTTTTTTGCATACCGAGGACACTCGATCAGAATGTGTTTCACAGTTAAGACACTTAAGCAGATTTGACAATTGGGCTTCGGCTCGGACTTCATTAAGTATTCATCTGTGAATCGGGTATGTCCTATTCTTAATCTTCGGATGACAGCTTTTTCTTTTCTAGAGATTGTTGGAAGTTCAAATTTTTCAACAGTTTGCCGGATTTCATGCACTCTTGATTGTGTTCCAGAAGTTTGCCAGGTATGATACTTTTGCTGCTTAAAAATTTGATTTAGGTGATTACGGATTTAATTATTGGGCTTTTGAGGATTGATTGTTTACACAAGAAGCTTGCTTGGCTGATTGGTCTGCTTTTTCATTACCGGGGATGCCGATATGGGATGGTAGCCAGATGATCGTAACATTTATACATTAAAAAGCGAGTGCACTGTAAGTCCTATGGATTTCTTGAACTAAGGGATGCAGGGAGTATAGACTTTTAATTGAGTGTAGTGAAGACAGGGAGTCTGTGCATATTGCTTGGTTTTTATCATCTGTTTTTAGTTTTTGATAACCTTCTAGTATGGCATAGTTATTTAGTGTATACGCTGCATAAATTCGGTAAAAAAGATAATTTTATTATTTCATCATATGTAGTAACGTCACATCCAACGTCTGCTTTGCTTTTGGACGCATCTGTATACAGAATTTTTTTGAAATTGGTTCTCTCTTATGATTTCTTCGAAGTGTTGTCTTATGAGAATGCTTAAGGTTAAAAAGGTTCAAGGATTAAAGGCTTAAACATTTTCAAGGAAAATTATTGTTAGTTTTAACATAATATTATTTAATAGTAGCATAACTGGTTAAAAATTGTTAATTATTGTAATAAATAAATAATATTCGGTAATTTGATCTTGCATAGATTTTCAAACAAAAATTAGAAGTATTATCTATCATAAATAATTGAAATTATTGCAACAGTAAACTTGGAAATAGTGATGTATAAATAAATTCTAGAAAGAATAGCATTGTATTTTAAGATTAACCTCCTCTGACCTACTAAAATTGATTGAAGAAACTGACTCAGATCACGAAGTGTTTATTGCATCTGATGAAGAAAGTTATGTCCCACGAGGAGATGCTGAGTTTATTATATAACAGGCAGACGAGTACGACTCAAAAGAGTACCTAGAGAATAAAACATAATACAAGAAAGACAAAAATTCACAAATGTTATAATAATAATATATTTGGACTGATAAAATAACAAAAAATAATTGGAAATTTTTACTACATCAAGAATATATTAATATATTCACTGGCAGAGAATATTTGCCAAGATAATACGAGTTCTGCTGTAACAATAAAACAAGAATTGGTCCAAAATGGGTCTTTTCATTTAATTTTATTTAATTTATTTAATTTCTACCCATGTAAAGGATGTCCCACAATTAATTAGACATAAGCTAATAGGTGATAGCTAACATCAAAATTAAGCGTGTAAGCTCAAATTGCTTTAGCTTTGTGGCCAAATGTCGCTAGTCTTTGTTTTACAGGGTAATTCATTAATATTTTTTATATTATTTTTAGGAATATATTAAGAACTATTCAACTGATTTAAGTGAAATTTGGTATCTTGCTATTATTTAATATGCTTAATATTAAAATAATATTAGTTTTACCATTGACTCATTACATAGGAGGCGCCACCTCCTATAACATTAGTTCAATAATGTGGCCACAATTTTTTTGTCCGTCTTCTATAAACATTCTAGGAACAAAACTTGAAATAGCATTTAGTTCTACATAAAAAAGTATTGTTGTGGGTCCAAAATGGGTCTTTTTATTAAATTTTTATTTAATTTATTTAATTTCTACTCATGTACAGGGTGTCCCATAGTTAATTGGACATAAGCTAATGGATGATAGCTAACAAAAAAAAGTACACAATTTTCGAAATAAACGTATTTTGTTAATGACGCCAGTATCTATTAATTTTTTTGCAAAACAAATATGATTTAAACTTAATGGCAGCGTCAAGACGTAACTACGAATTTATTTATTATTAGTTGTCAAAGTGCAGTGCGAGTCATGATTGGTCCAAGTGCTATGAAGTTTTTTATAAACCACTTAAAATAAAGGTAAAATGCCACGTCATAGTGAATTTTCTAATGTAGAAATGCGCGATATGATCTGATTGTACGCCAGAAAATTTTTTATTCTCGTAAAGCAGCTCAACGTCGATAGGATAGGGGAACATGCTGCACCTACCTAGAAACGATTGTACCTAAGGACAGGATAAATTAACGCCAAACAAAATATCAGACAAACCTTAGATTTACAAAACATATCGGCAACAGTGTCCCTCTCTATGGTATTCAGTTGTGCACATGTTCGTGAAGTGTTAACACAAGCTGTGTCCATTTTGTAATTTTTGACGTCCAAAGTAATATTTTTACCGGCTGTTTCGTCTTATTGCAAATTATCAATTTGACTGTAGTAAATAATCATGTTAGGGTGATATTAATCGTAATTTAGACTACCTAATCTAATCAAACCGTTGTATTTGTTGTGGCTAACGACTTATTCGACTGCTTTTGTACAAGGAGTCCTTATTTTGTTTCAGGAGCTCATTATTAATTATTATCAAATAAAGAAAATAAGAGAAGATCGGGACCTTTAAAAGTCAATGTAGAGAATGCTGTTCGTGAAGTTTTAAATTCAAGTCTTTCAATTCGTGCCGCAGCGAGCCAATTTGGAATTGCAAAGTCTGCATTAGCAAGACACATTAAAAATTTTAAAACATCAGGTCAAAACAATTTTATATACAGTCCGAATTATAAAGTCAAGCAAGTTTTTAATGAAGCCGAGGAAACGGAGCTGGTAAACTATTTAAAAACAGCTGCTAGAATGCATTATGGCCAAGTTTGATAAACGTTAAAAAACTGGCATATGAATATGCAAAGCAAAATAAAAAAAATATCCTGCTTGCTGGGACGATACAAAAGAAGCAGGAAATAATTGGCTTAGAGGTTTCCGAAATAGACATTCTGCATCTCTGTCACTTAGAAAACCCGAGGGTACAAGTTTGGCCAGAGCAACTGCATTCAATAAAGAAACAGTTGCTATTTTCTTTCAATCATATAAAAATGCGTTGAGTAAAGGAAACTTTGAACCATCAAAAATTTTTAACGTCGATGAGATGGGTATTACTACTGTGCAGCAACCTCCTAAAATTTTAGCACCAAAAGGACAAAGGCAAATAGGAGAAATGACATCTGGAGAAAGAGGTGTTCTAGTTACTGTGATATGTTGTATTAATGCTGCTGGAAATACTGTGCCGCTTTATTTGTGTTTCCGAGAGTGAATTTTAAAAGTCACATGTTGAAAGGGGCACCACCTGAAGCAATAGGAGCTGCAAATCCGAGTGGATGGTCCAATGAAGATGTATTTTTTAAATTCCTAGAACATTTCATATCACATGTTAAACCTACTTTGCAGGATAAGGTTATTTTATTGTTAGATAACCATAAAAGCCATGTTTCCATACCCACTATTAACTTGGCAAAACGTTCGGGAGTCATTTTAGTTACTTTTCATCCCCATACATCACACCGATTGCAACCTTTCGATTTATCTGTTTTGGAACCTTTAAGTCTTTCTACAATAATGCAATGACTAATTGGATGAGTTCTCCTGGTAACGCAGGGAAACCAGTTACCATTTACGACGTAGCAGAGTTGGCAAATACGGCATACTTAAAGCATTTAGTCCAAACAATATAACCAAGGGGTTTTAAGTATCAGGTCTATATCCCTTAAACAGTGATATTTTTACTGAACAAGACTTTTTGCCATCTA